CCCCTCCCGTCCTGGCCCGCCCTTAGTCCCGCCCCTCTCGCGCTGGAGCTGCCCAGCGCCCCCTGTCGGCGGAGATCGCGGGGACCCAGGGACGCACCCCGCGGTCCTCAAAACCCTGGCTTTGGTTTTTCCACTGTTTACGCTTGAATTTTTTTTCTCTTAGTTGCAAAGGAAATGCGGCCGTCAAGGTCCATGTCTGCTGGTAGGGGGTGATTCCTCCTTAAAGATAAGAGGAAGGATTTCTCCATGATAAATACAAGACTCACTGAAAATTGCACTAGCCAAAGCCGGGAGTGGTGGTGCACACCTGTAACCCCAGCACTCCCAGAGGCTGGGGAAGGAGGACCACAGGTTTGAGACCGGCTTTCACTGGGAAACAGCGATTTACTGAGAGCCTCTCTCTGATTTCTTTAAAAAGGCAACAGGGTGGGGGATGTAGCTCAATGCAAAGGCCCTGGGTTCAAACCCAGCACCAAAAAAAGTGACTTAATCTTCCTAGGAAGAGGGAGACAAACTTCATCTTGCACATTTGCCAAGTGTTGGTCATCTTGGTGCTCAGAGAGGCTGTGGCAGCCAGAGTCGGCTTGCTTTGTCTCCAGGGACAAATCCTCCTGTGGCCTTGGTCTGCTGCAGGCTGAGAAGCCTGGTGCCCAGTCCTGCTACCCGGAACCCTGAGCAGGCCACCACCCCTGCAATGACACGAGACAGTTCAACTCTTCAGCCAGAGTGAGATCTTGCAGGAGTATTCGGGAGTCATGATCAGGCTAATTGGAAGTACAGTGGACCCTTGACTTACGAACTTCATCAATTCCGGAGGGCTGGTTGTAACTCACATTGGTTGTAAGTCAATACAGCTGAGATCTGGATGTTTATCTGGGTACTCGCCATAGAGAACAAGAGGCAGACGACTCTTCCATCAACCTAATAAACCCAAGGTGTTCGTATGACGGGCCTGTTGTAACTTGAGGATCGACTGTACTGTACTGCAAAGCGTGAAGTATGTGGGTCGGTCCTAGGATAAATCATGAATTCAAGGTGCTGGGTAGTTTAATGCACCGAACTTCAGATAGAGATTTAGCGCCTGGATTTACACTTCTGCGCCAGACAGACACAGTCCAGAGCGCTTCCGCTCCTCCGCCCCACTAGGAGACCGAACAGGGGCCACAGCCGGCCCTGGAGGCCTCAGGTCACCAGGCCTTGACTTTCCGCGTCCACCATATTTAAATGAAGAATGGAAGAGAGCACTTCTGTTTTATGGATTCCATTACTTTCTTATGTTGGGCGTTTATTTTTTGCATTTCTTTCTTATGCTGGGCCTTCATGGCTTCTATCACGGTCCTGAGGAGAGCACTTCTGACCAGCCCCTGGTGCAGGGTTTGGGAACTGCGCATGTGCCGTGGGTATTTGTGATTGACAAGCCACTCCCACTGGCCCGTTTAGTTTGCCCTGCCCTAATCTCCCATCTCAAATTGAATAGTCGTGGACTGTGTGTGTGTGTTTCATCTAGTTCTCACAATTAGCCGATGGGGTATTCTTCTTTCCTCATTTGGCTGATCAGTAAATTAAAGCTTATGGAGTTCAAACAATCTTAGTAAAAATCATGACCTGTCATGTGCAGAGGTTCGTCTCATCTCAATACTTTTGTTCCCTTCACCACAGCCCACACTCGGTTAATATGCTAGCTGGGATATCCTATTGTGTGTCAAAGCATTTCTTGTTTTCCACGTGTGGGATGTGTGCCAGTGTTCTTTGGAATGGTGGATGGCAACGTGCTTAAAGTCCAAATTCTCCAGCTGCAGAGTCAGGAGGTCCTGAGACAGGGCCCCAGATCCAGCTCTCCGAGTGACTCTGATGACACACAGTAACACTGGGAGGGTCACCTCTTCTGACCCTCCTCTTTCGAGGAGCAAAGTTAAATTGAGTTGGCTCATTCGTCTCTATTTTGTGTGTTTTTAAGACAGTCTTGTAGATCAGAACTCATGGTGATCCTCCTGCCTTGGCCTCCTGAGTGCTGGGATTACAGGTGTGTGCGGACACTCCTGGCTATTCATCCTCACTTTGAGAATTGATGGCCCTTTGCATCAGGACATTTCTCCAAACTCCTGCAAACCCTTAACTGTGTTATTGTGGACATTTGTGATGACAGCTGCACGCATGTCAAACCTGATTGTTCTTTTATCATCCTAAATGTTTGCTAAGTAAGGCTAATGCAGATGCTATGGAAAAGCTGTGTTCAGCAGGAGAAAATGGAAATTAACCCCAGCCACACACGCAGAAGAGAATTTTTTGTTTAGTTTGCTTTGGTTTTTTGGAGACAGGGCCTCACTATGTAATCAGGGCAGGACTCAAACTCAAGGCAGTCCTCCTGCTTCAGCCTCCTGAGTGGTAGGATCACAGGTGTGAGCCAACACACTCAGCCAGAGGGAACTTTTTTTCTTGGTACTTTAGGACCTTTTGCTTTCGAGGCAGGCGCGGTGCCAATGAGCTAAATCCCCAGCCTATACCAATATTTGTGAGGCCCATTAGGACTTGTTTTCTGTAGCAGTGCACCTTAGACAACTCCTAAGCGTGAGAGTTCAGTTCTTTCTCTACCATAGCGTCACTTTTTGTATTCCTACACCAGGTTTTGTTGTTGTTGTTGTGTTTTGTTTTAATTCTCTACATTGTTTTCAAGGTTCTAAGGACCTCTGATATACTAGGCAAGCACTCTTCTCTCACAACCATCTTTAAAAAATTTTTTTAATGAGACAGGGGCTTGCTAAATTGACCAGGTTGAGCAGGACTTTGTACTCCTCCTGCCTCAGCCTCCCAAGTACTGGGATTACAGGCTTATACCACTGTGACTGGCTCATTCTCTACTTTTAAAATCACATTTGACCTTTGTAGGATGTCCTTCTTTTTAGCGGTATTTTCTATTAGGTGTCTGTCCCTCAGTATAGAGAAATGATTTTTTTCTTTCTTCTCCTTTATTTGATCTATTTAACCATCTATTGCATTTTTAGTAGGTCAGATATTAGAGGTATAAAGATGATCAAGATATAATCTGTCCCCGGGGTATGCAGAGTCTCTCACATATATTCCTACTGACTTCTCTGCAGATTTCTTGACTTTTTTGCCCCTCTAAACTTTCTGCATTAGTTTTTCTTCTGTCCCTTGCTGACTGTTTTCTACTTCTCATTTCAACATCCCAATCTGAGTTCTACAATTCAGTGGGAGGAATAAGCAGTTTCACTGACCTTTATATTATTTGGTCATTTATGTCGATGTCACAGACCTGTCGTGTAAGTCTCAGTGGTCTAAATCACAGTCCATGTTCTAAAAGCAAAAGTGAATGAAATTTTGAGGCAAGCAATCACGGCATAGCCACACTGCACAGAAGTGCATGACCTTGCTAGAAGTTCTCTCTGGCTCTCACATTCGGTTGGTATTTTTCACAGGCTGTCATTTCTATAGCCAGCCCAGGGCATAATAACAACAACTCACAGGTGGGGGAAGGGTGGGCCATTCCTACAGGCATCTTGAGAGTGGCAAGTGCTATCAGTTGCAAGAAAATTAGAAAGACAGAAGAATTAAAACTGCACAGCACTCTGTGGCTGGCGATCGGTTAAACCCAAGAGCCCTGTATATCCACTGGGAACTGGAGAAGCATCACCCTGAGACTCTGTGAGCTGCTGTTCCCGCACGATGTGAAGGATCGAGCACATACCACACACCTGCATGGCTCAGCACATACCTGAAACTCGGGACCAAAGCAGGTATGCAGAGCCCTGGCCCACGAGCCGCAAGAAGGATTAAATCATATGCTGCACTGCTGCAGAAGACACACAGACCCCTTTTAGAACCTCAGCAAGTTTTACATTTG